GACGTTTTGAACAATATTCCAGTCATATCACGGCGTGTCAGTTTCATGTGGGAGGAAAGCCCGAAGTGATGCATATCTCAGACGTTTATCACTTTGCTGACAAACCTAAAACACAATTAGGCCGAACCGGGATTCGAACCCACGATCATAGGTTCCTGGTGTGTTCCAAGGGACGTAACTCTGCACGGCGAATTGCGTTGCCTTACACAACTAAGCCTAAATGAGTCCACTATACCGTCTCGTGTCATTGTTAGCAACACGTTAGACAAGTGAACATGAGAGTTATCTCCCCTGGTCGGGTACTCGTGCCTCATACGCCAGTCCATCTGGACCTAGCATGTGTCGAGTATTCTAGTATTTTCGCCATGTACACTACACATGGGGCCTTACAGCCGCTTTGGGCAGATTTAAAGTCAATTCTAGAGATTATCTGTGTCGAATGAATTAATCTGTTCTAATCTTTAATTTTGGATAAAGCCGATTGTCGGATTAACGGTTGTTGATTTGGCTTGATTTGAGTGTTAAACAGACTTGATATAATATTGTTATTTCCAATGCTTGGCAATATTTCCATAGTACCGAGTTGCGAGTGGGTTAATATTCTTATTTGCATAACCCAGCCGTGAAGAGATCATTCGCTTAGTAACTATAGACATTTATAACACATTGTGTGATAACATCAGGTGCGGACAGGATTATACTTGTCATTAGTAGGTCATTCAAATGGCGGCGTCGGTGGTATTGTACAACTCTACAACGTCCACTCTTCTCCTGACAGACACTACGATGTGTTCACAAAACACCAGAGATGCATAAACACTGTATTATTGACATAAGGAAGAGACCTATCTGCCTAGTGCTTGGAATTTATTGCTTTGATCTTTCAATTATCTAGCTGGCTTCCATTTGTCCATTGCTACTTCTATTCTTTTACCTATCTATAGCTAAGTACAAGATTGCTACTTACCCAGACCTCCCATTGTCCATTGTCAATTACTAATCAGTGATGGTTTAGTCCTGGTTTCTAGTTGTCTATAACTATCAGCGCTAATTACTGTAAAGTGTTGGCTTCTATTGTCTATTGCTAATCGCCTATCTAAGCCAATTATCTATTGGCTTCCCTTGTTAAGTTTCCATCCTTAGTTATCTTATTACTTTTGTTGTCCTTACATGTACATATATGCTCTCTGCCTCCTGGCAATCATATACCTGATGGAGGAGTAAGTGCATATACTCCGAAACGTTGTGTTCCTCATGATAAAGAAGCTGATATTCATCAATTCTCTTCCTTGTGTGTATCACTTCTAAATGCCTTTCAAAGACTTGTATTATTGACATACTTGGTTATGTAAAGTCCGTCAAAGATACATTTTGAAATACACGAGTTGTAATAAAACGGTATCTATGGAGACGGGTGTAGTCATTTATTTATTACTGACGTAAACGTTACACATTATAGACTCACTCGCTCGCTAGTGAGTGAGTGAGTACTAGTGCACCAGTATTGGTATACGCAGGAATGCACTTGTACCGAGTGTGAACAATACTCACGAGTATACTTAATCAGATTGACAGCCTGGCGTTTTGAAAACGAGGGCCCCCAGCAATGGCAGCTAATTATCTCATAGTGTTCAACTTGTTAATACCTCCCGGATTATCACAATCCACGTTGCATACTTCTTGTCCTCGTATAAACATAACTACAGCCCCAACAAACACCCCCAACACTTCTATACACGCTAGATAATCCCTTGCATAAAACCCATCCCTCCATAATCTCCTGGTTATAACCGCCGCTTGTAGTCGATAAGGGCTCCCCCACTTCTTCCCAACCCCTCGTTTCCTGTTAGTGGTGTGGTTTACATGTCTGATTCGCCCGCCTGTTAACACTAGCAACACAAACTTCATCGTAATTTAACATTACCGCTTTCCTTGGTTCATTTCGCTCGTTAAGACACTCCTCCGAATGGCTCATCGAGGCGAAGGCCGCGAGTTTGTTTAAGTGCGGTGTGCAACTGCCGGGAAACGTGCGTTGTAGCATGTCTTTCAGCCATTTCCGGGTTCTTTTTTGTTGTTGTTCTCTTGACATTACACATGTGAGTTTAGTTCCTTTTTGAAGTCAAATCATACTTGTTTCATTCTATTGAAAGTTGAACTGTCAATGTATTCATACAGACACCTCCCCTCTAATTCACGTGTTTCCGTGTCGGTGCGCGATTTGAGGGCATAATTACCACGTTGTGATTGACGCGCGGTGATATAAATCAAAGTAAATTACCCTAGTGCTTTTATGTTTACACAATAACTGTTATGTTTAATGGACACGGAGCCTTTGAAACAGTCTCTTATAGCTCGTTATGTCCCCATGGTGCTTGTGGCCTCGTGTTCACAAAGACGTCGGAACGAAATGTTTTCTTGAATCAATGGCATTTAACCCTTAAAGGACAAACAACGATTGTACACAGAAAACATGGGTCACTTTTCAGCTCTGTTGTGTTTGACTCACAAATGACTTAATTAGCCTGTAGATCTAATTTCACACAATATAAAAATACCCTTTGATCTCGGGTCCGTGTTAACGATGGTATACATCTCACGTGAGCTCCATACCAGTGTGTCGGAGTTAACACAATTTGGTATAGTGTAAAGTATGGAATGGAGTTTTGCTTTGAATACTGGAATAGAATTTGGAATGAGAAAAAATGGAATATACTCACCTGACCGTTTATACACGGTAAGGCTGCTTGACAACAGTACAAGGATTTATACCGAAACGTCGCCTTTACAGTATTAAAGAAGATATTATACATAAATTGTGTATACTTTGACGTGGTGTTCTGCAGTGCTTCATTAGATTATCATAGGCTATTAGAGTGTTTCTTTGTTTGTTTGTTGTTTAACGACGCACTCGGCAATATTCCAGCTATATGACGACGGTCTGTAAAATAATCGAGTCTGAACCAGACAATCCAGTGATTGACATCATGAGCATCGATCCACGCATTTGGGATCGTTGACATGCATCAACCAAGTCAGTGAACCTGACCACCCGATTCCGTAAGTCCATTAGTGTGTTGAATCAACTAATTCATCGTCTATGTATATCTCCTCTTCCTCAACGCTGTTGGCAATGGCTGGAGTGAGAACCTGCCACCCACGTCCCTTAGCTGATTTGTCACATGTCGGGGACATCTGTTTATAAACTGTCTTAGAAGAGAGAAGACTTGTTTGTAAATAGAGTATATTCCATTTGTCTCATTCCAGATTCCATTCCAGTATTCCATTCCATACTTTACACTATCCCACCCATTTCTTTCACTTCAGGGAACAACTACAATCGGTAAAGGAGAAATCACGAGAATCTGTTGATTCTCCTTTCGGAATAAACAGATCTTAGTAATTTTTCCAACTTATAAATAAACCATATAATTCTCTTAAATATTGACAGCTACATCGGCAGCGTTACGGCTACATCGGCTGCGTTACGACGACATCGGCAGTGATACAGCTACATCAAGGCGGACTGAAGATTAGACAGTAAACTACGGTTATATCGAACTCAAAGGGACCACTAATTTCATTTCGTTATAACCGTAGTTCGTTATAAGCATATATTCAGCGTATATACAGCAAATGGATGGGACAAAATCCAGTTCGTTGTATCCCTCATTTCGTTATAAGCGTGTTCGTTATAAACGTAGTTTACTGTATTACGGTAACCGAAAGAGAGAGGTCGTACTGGGGTAAAAGATCCGGTAATCTATGATAGAAGCGAGGGACGCATCGGCCTGTGCTGATCAGTTTGTGATGGAGATATTCTCAGTAAATGTCACTGGATGCTTGCAGGCGTTACACATTGTTTTCAGTGTTACCATAGTTGTTTTTTTTGTATAACGCCGCACTCAGCAATATTCCAGCCACATGACGGCGGTCTGTAAATAATCGAGTCTGGACTAGGCAATCCAGTGATTGACATCATGAACATCGATCCACATAACTGGGATCGATGACATGTATCAACCAAGTCAGCGAGCCTGACCACCCGATCCGTTAGTCGCCTCTTACGACAAGCATAGTCGCCTCTTACGACAAGCACAGTCGCCTTTTGCCCTGGAACTGACACATTTCTAACCTCAATTTAAGTGAAAATAATCATAAATACAAGTTTCAATATTCCTGGTTTCGCATAAGTATCACTATAACACGTTGGTAGTGTACCACTGCACTGAACACGTTCCTCCTCTCAAGACATTCATCTCTCCACAAGCGTAAGAAATTAAATCAGTCGTTCCTGATACCAAAGCCAAGATTGCGTGATTCCATCACGCGGGGGGCAGTGATGCGTATTCTGTTAAGTGTTTTTCAAATGATGTCAGCTTTTTCTTCCGTGACAATGATCAATCTACTCCAGCAACGCTGAGAAGTCAAGTCAACGAAAGGCAAGTGTTCGAAAACTAGTCAATGGATCTGTAACCTACTTAACATTGTCACGTTAGTCCACAGAAAGAGACCTTGCCTGCAGAAGGTATTGAGTCTATACATTATGTACTTTCTAATACATGGAATGCATGACCAACAGAGAGCCTATAGCCTATATCGATTGTTAAGGTCGATCTGGGGGATCTTTTGAAACCACATGGGGCGGAGAAGAGAGAGAGAGAGAGAGAGAGAGAGAGAGAGAGAGAGAGAGAGAGAGAGAGAGAGACTTTACATGTTAACTGCGCTCTCGGCCAAGTCATAGTTATAATGTGCACCTCATCCTGTATTTCAAAATCCTAGATCCGCCTCAAAGTTCAATGATGATCACGCTCACAACGATTTTACATATACATGCATATAGGCCAGGTGTCATACTGGGGATCTCCTTCATAGCGTATCGGGATATGGAATATAGGTTCAAGTTGGACACAAACTAAAACCCACTGACAAACCATTAACCATTCTTCAGATGCATTGTCTTAACCGTCTTAGTTAAACATTTAATGATTGAAATGACTTACCGAGAACGCTCACATTGACAGCCTCCTTCACTTGGACTTTCCAGGATTCCATCAGTCCGAACCACCCGTTGGGGTACACCGGGGGGATCTCCCCCACCTGGCGTCGCTTCCTGACCATATTCGCCACCTCCTTCTTGTTCCAGCTTCCCTCGGGTACATACCCGACATCGCCCAACTTACGTACCCGGTTCAAAGGCGTGAAGAGAATTTTATATCCGAAATATCCTACTGCACATGTTAGTGATAGATACAAATAGGTATTCCAACACGTGAAATCTGGCACTGTGGTGATCAACGACACCAGACTAGACATGAAAGCGGTACATGCGCTTATCCATAATTCACCGACTCGGAACAGTGACACCTGTAAGAGCTTCTCTGTCACCGATGCGGAGACTGCAATAATAAACACGGACACCAAGCCGAGTGTAGCGACGTTGCCTCGTAAGGCCGACATGATCACAGCGAAAACCTCACAACGTGCTCTCCTACTGCCAACAGTAAAATGAGCCCCACCAACCCTCGCTGTTACTACGAACGCGGTAGTCACGTGACTAGCAGTGTCGACGCCGGGGGTTGTTTACGCTGAGAGCCGCGAGTCAAATAGTGACGGCTATATCGGCGTTAAATCTCAAATTAGCAGTGTTCAATGAGGTGGCGCTCGTTCATTGAAGACAATAGCGTAATCGACAATCCATAGTTAGACTGTAATTTGTTTCCAGGCAGAGAGATAAAGGACAACTCACATACAGAAAGAAAGGCTTTACGTTTGTGTAGTATTTGACCATAGCAACACATCAACATCAGGTCTAGGTGAGGCCTAGCTGTATTGCTGGGCTGTACCCATAGAAAATCAAGAATCAAGACATGTAACGGCTGGCGTACAGGACAGTCAGGGACACACACGACAGCGGATATCAGGGTTTGAGTTCATGGGCTATTGCTTCCATTGTCAAGTATTGTCAGAGATATATCTCACGGTGAGGGAGTCGGGGACTCGCTTGATTGACCCCCGTGGGGATTCCGGGTTAGAACGGTCCCCAGCAATCTATACTTTTCGTAAGAGTTTGTGGGTGAGTTGGTTTAACGCCACTATTAACAGTATTCCAGTTATACCACGCCGTGTCAGCTTCATGTGGGAGGAAAGCCCGAAGTGATGCAGGTCTCAGACGTTTACCACTTCGGTGAAACCCACGAGCACGGGTATGGTGCTGACAAACCTGGAAACATAATCGGGCGAACCGGGATTCGAACCCACAATCATAGGTTTCTGGCGTGGCCAAGGGACACAACTCTGCACACCCCTTTTCGTAAGAGGCGATCTACTGGATCGGGTGGTCTTGCTCGGTGACTTGGTTGACAGTGCGGCGTTAAACAACAAACAAACATTTAAATAAACTCACTCACTTATCCACACGTTGCCTTGATATTGTTTACATGTATCAATCTGCTTTATGTTCGAATCTGTGATATTTACCTTACCATTTACTGCTCACAATAATCGTGAATATATCATTTGAGCCGGCTATGAGGATGACATACTGACGATGTGATGATGGATGTTAACTCACTTAATCAGTCATTTATACTTCTTTACAAATCCTCGGGAATATCCCCCCCTCCCCCCTGATACATAATCATGAAAGAATATAAGCGATTCATTCCACTTGGTTACGGAACGCTCGTTATGTCACGTACACCTTATGGCGCATACGAGATGTATTCATTTTACGGCGCTTCAATGAACTTCTTCCACTACCAGGCATTACATTGGATGAGATAATCATTTATTAAATTACTAATTTGCTTGATATATAACTTACTCAAAGAACGAAATTATCGAAGGGAGACAACTCAGTCGTCTAATGTTGCAGCCCGTTATTTAATCTATTCATTGTAAGGGCAGTGCGGTAGCCGAGCGGTTGATGCATTTGGTTGCCACGCTGAAGGTTCAGGTTCGATTCCCCACATGGGTACGCTGTGTGAAGCCAATTTCTGGTGTTCCCTGCCGTGACATTGCTGGAATATTGCTGAAACGGCGTAAAACCATACTCACACACGGTTAGATTCCCCACATGGGTACGCCGTGTGAAGCCCATTTCTGGTGTTCCCTGCCGTGACGTTGCTGGAATATTGCAAAAAGCGGCGTAAAACCATACTCACTCACTCGCTCTTTGGCCACTGAATTTCAGCCGGTTGGTTTACGTTCTTCATTTACATATTAATTAAAATAATATAGTGTTTCGACACATAGTATATCTGTACAGTTATAAAATATGAGTTGATGAAAGATTCAAGTTGGCCTCGACATCCAAAAGTGGCTCTGAAGATTCGCTACTTCTACCCCAATTATCACCTTGCTTCAACACATCCCATCATGTCACGTGGCGTGAGGAAACTGTCGCCGCTGGGTCCTCGCTATAGTGTGGACTATGCAGTACAATCGGGGTAATCACGTCCCACCAGGGGGTGGGTATAGTCGGAATACATTCTCACAATGGGATTACATTGTGCACCTGTTGAAAAACCTCTCAGACCACAGTGCGGGGAAACATCATTGTGTCGCATATAATAGCTGCTGGACCAACACTGATGCTGTGGTTGATGAATTTATTTGAGGACAAAAGAAGGCTTGATGGTGTTATCAGTCACCAAGGCTGATAATGGAGATTTAATCCTTCCCGTTTCGTTTGTTGTCAGATTGGCGAGAGGGGTCCCTTTTCATGGCTGTGTTGAAAAAGCCTTAAGTTGGTTAGAAGAAATGGCAACGTTTTGAAAATGTTTCAGTAATATATCAATACTTAGAAGTAATAAAAAAGCCAATATTCGAATTGTGACAAATATATAATATATTTCACCCCTCCGTCCTTCACCTCGATGAGGTAATAGGCTTGTTTGGGAGTGGCAGTTTGTTAAACGTTATAGTCTTTAATTTTAAATTTCAAAAGTTTTATTCATTCGCTACTACCACCACCGCACGTTTAAAGTCTGTGATGTGTGTCACGTGTCAGGACGAGAAACAAGTGGAGCTAGTAGAATAAAGTTTTGTTTCAGTAATTACAAAGTTTTTGATGTTTTCTGACATCCAGCAACCCGGATGTAAACTGAGATGAGAAGCGAGATGATAAGGCCCGAGAGTGATGTGCCCGCGCACACAAGTCAAGTGTATTCACACAGACACGGGGAAGTGTATTGCATGTTTTAGGTTAGTGAGGACGCGAGGTTCAGTCGCCCTGCAAATCTGCACGTAGACACGTGGGGATATGAGTGGACATGTTATCATTGCGCAATACAAACTCTAATGTTCATTTTCTTTTACAGCCATCTACGGAAGCCAATAAGTGCCACTATTTTTTTCTTGAAAATTGAAGTTCTTATCTGGCAACAGCGTCCTCGTTCATTTGTTGTTTCATTTATCTTGGCTTTCCACATAGTTTCTGGAATTTTCCGCTTATGTACTTGAATATTTTTCAAGATACTATGACATTTTTTTTGCAACTTGAAGCTTGAATTGAAGATCCGGGGTTGGTTGGTTTGCTGTTTAACGCCGCACTCAGCAATATTCCAGCTATACGACGGCGGTCTGTAAATAATCGAGTCTGGACCAGACAATCCAGTGATTGACATTATGAGCATCGCTTCACGCAGTTGGGATCGATGACATGCATCAACCAAGCCAGCGAGCCCGACTACCAGATCCCGTTAGTCGCCTTTTACGACAAGCATAGTCGCCTCAAGATCCGGGGTAGAATTGGTCTTCAGCAACCCATGCTTGCCGTAAAAGACGACTATGCTTGTCGCAAGAGGCGACTAACGGGATCGGGTGGTCAGACTCTGACTTTGTTGATGCATGCAATCGTATCCCAATTGCGTGGATCGATGCTCATGATGTCAATGACTGGATTGTCTGGTCCAGACTCTATTATTTACAGACCGCCGTCATACAGCTTGGATATTGCTGAGTGCGACGTTAACCAAATCAATAAACAAACAAAAACTTGAATGCTTTAGATAGCAACTTGAACTTTCAACTTAGTTTTTAAATTTTCAACTCAGTATCTTGAATTTTCAAGACAGTAAAAAATGCCTTTGCACTAATGGGCTTGCGTAGCTAAACCCTTACGTATCTGGTATTGATATTAATATGATTATACTCATAACCTTGACAGATGACATCTTAAGTTTCACGAATACTTGTATATTATTATGTTCCACCTGACGTAGTCGTGAGTGGTAGATGGGATTTAAGACAGGTGTGCAAATAAAGTAAAGGATCAGTCTAAGCTGGATCAGTCCACTACGACGTTAATGAGGGAATACACTGCCGGACAAAGAAAGTATACACGCACCCATTTTTGATGGTGGCTAAATGACATAAACAAGAAATGGTAATTGGATGGTGATGTAATTAATACGGGTATCGCATTTGTTTTGGACTTTCTTTTTGCTGTGTGTCGGTGACTGTTTTCAACCTAGTAACGTTTTGATAACGTTTGTAATTTTTTGGTCAAATCCGGTTTTCAAGTGTATAATCTGGGGGGGGGGGGGGGGGGGGGGGGGCAAAAGAAGTATACCGATTTTGTTTTTGATGTAATTGAAAATAGAAAGAACTGTTGTTAAATTTGATTATGCCTATTTAACCATCGATCATTTGTGCAACAGTTTGTAAAAAGTAATCAATGGTTGGATAATTGCGCCTAAAAATAAATTGGCTCAATGTAGACTGGGGTAAAAAGTGAATTTGCAGGCAATGGGCCCCTACCATGTTTAAATTCAAAATTTGTGCCGAAAATGGAAAATTTATTGATTTTCAAAATTTAGATGTCTGAGATACCTATCAGCAGTTTGTATCATGCAATGTTTTTTTTATTTTTTAGAAGTTTTAAATCAAGTTATATTTTAAAGAATAAAACATTGTAGAAGCATTTTTTTCGAGTGCTTACTAAGCGCCAGTACAGTTCATATTTATATATAATATCGCTAAAATAAGATATTTTCAATTGACTATGAAACATATGATTTAAATCAACTGAGCCGTGATATAACTGGAATACACATTTTGTGCTCAAATTCCACAGTTCACATATGTTTGACCAATGGTGCTTCACTTTAGTCAGGGGGCGGTCGGGTAGCCTAGTGGTTAAAGCGTTCGCTCGTCACATCGAAGACCCGGGTTCGATTCCCGACATGGGTACAATGTGTTAAACCCATTTCTGGTGTCCCCCGCCGTGATATTGCTGGAATATTGCTAAAAGCGGCGTTAAACCCAACTCACTCACTAAATCAACTGAGAGTATAGTTTCTTTTGCCCGGATTTTAAGTTACTGGCATTTCAATTAATAATGTGTCTGCGTATAATTTGTTACCTGCTATATTGATATAAATAATAAACTTGAGCAAAATAAGTATTGATTTACACGAATCAATCGTGCTGGGCCTGCTATATCTTTGTAATGTGGATCCACCAATGTATGTCTTACGCCAGAATTGGCAATGTTCCAACTCTTTCACGG